GTATCCAGCTTGAGAGTATCTCTTCTTCCTTCTATTGAAGATGAACCACAGGAAACAGCAGCAAGAGATGTGTGAATTTAGCTGAATAGTTAGTTACTTGACTGTGAAGGGAGGAAGCTGGGGTTAAAACCTATTTCTTGGGAGAGTATGAATTTTTCTTAACTTTGTCAGCAGACTAGTTGCGGGTTAAAGAAAATGCAGAACAGATCCGGGAAAATGGGCTAGGCCTTTCCACCCTCTCCCTCCAAGATGAGTGCCCTAATCAGTAGCTTGATAGGAATCGTATTCCTTGTTGTCTTTTCTCTGTCGGTCTTTGTAGCTCTTGCATGCCTGGCTGCACTATGGCTCACTTTCAAGAGGGAGAAGGAGGAATGCTCTTCTTCACCAGCATACCCTATGATCTGGTGGGTCAGAGCACTTTTTAGAGAGTGAGTGGGCTTAATCCCTCTTAGGCCCATCAGTCCCTTTTGCTTTCTGCTTTAATTCTTTGCTGGCCAAAAGCAGATATCAGCAATACTTCTGACTTCTCTCTAACTCTTCGTGCTTCTCCTAGAGACTTGTGCAGTGTTCAGGTGCAGTAGTCATGCACTAAAATGATTCTGCAGCAGAGCTTTGTATGCCTGTTTCTACAGAGCAAGCACTTTTGGACATAAAGTGCATGCATTTTTGGACAAAAAGATGGAAATGCCCAAGGAGCATTTACAATGGAACAAATGAATCTGGGTTAAATACTGGAAAGAGGATTGGATTAGCTTTTGTGCAAACCTGCTTGTGCCTGTGGGTAAGATTTGAAGAACCTTGATCATCTGCAGAATTTCACAGGCAGTGCTGCTCAGGAGATCATCCTGAAGTACTCCGGTCCTTGGGAGCAGGTGCCACTATTTTAGTCTCTCAGGAACTCACACAAAGAGTTCTTTGCTTCTTTTTGAGACCTGTTTTTGTATGTCGGCACCTTCATACAACTACATATGTGGCTTCTGATTTCCACTACTTTGGTTAATCTTCTTCTTGTTTGAATATTGGCAGGACTTTTGTTCACAACTTTCTTGTTCTTCTTTCCTTGGAAATAAAAATTACAAGTGACCTGTGAATCTTTTGGGTTGTTATATCAATAAAAATGGCTAAATCTGATCCTGAGTGTTATGATGGATAATATGCTTCTACAGTTCCTGTGTAACTAGTCAGTTAAAAGAAATGCTAAAGCACAGTCCAAAAGTTTTTAACATCTTCTGTCTTAATGTTTACAAAGTTAATACTATAGCTTAGCCAACTATCATCATCTTCTCATGTTACAATATGTTTTAATTTCTGTCTATCTTTGCATAAATGTTTCGGCAGTAATGAGCTTAGGCTGTCCTGAATAAATTAAACATCTTTGTACCTGGAAATCCTTTACAGCTAACTACATTTTAAAGCTGCTTGCAGTTTTTCCCTCCTTCCAGTGTGAATTATTCTTAAGGTGCAGTGATCTGCTGATAGTTAGAGAGAGACACGTAGATGTGTTTCTATGTTCCTGTGTCTTTTTTTTTTTTTTTTTTAAATCACTCTGTACTATTTCTCCTCCTTGTTGCCAGTTCCTTTTCATCTCACTTTTGTCTGCACTTCTTTTCTAAAGATAGATAGATTCACATAACCACAGAGTAGTTTAGGTTGGAAGTGACTTTTAAAAGTCATCTAGTTCCAACCCTGCCTGTTTCAGCATTGCACCACTCTCATTGTAAAAAAATTCATCCGTACATCTAGACTAAATTTACTTTCTTTCAGTTTAAACCCATTGCCCCTTGTTCTGTTTTTGCCTAAAGATCATCAGGAGCAAAAAAACTCTCCAGACAAATTTAGTATAGATAAGACAGCTCTTTTAATGAAGGCCTTCTGACCATGGAGTACAAAAGGCATGTGCCCACATACAGAATTCTTACTAATTATCATGTCTAATGGGGACGTCCAATCCTAAGACCCCTTTTGCCCTCGTAACTGCGCACTGGAGCCCCTCCAAGGGCCTTGAGCCTTCTATTTTGTTTTGTCTACCATACCTCTTGTTATTTTGGCCCAGGTGCACATCCCAATGGAAGCCAGCAGAATGTTCTTGCTAAATATCTATTGCCTTGAAAAGACGTTTGAAAGACAGTTAAACCAGAGCTACAGGAATGTGACACACAAACTGTGAGAAATTTCTCATGTTACTGTGAGAAAGTAATGGTCTAAAGTGAAGGAAAACTCCAGCTACATTAAAATCTACAAAAAGCTAAAAATCTTTAAAATTCTAAGGAATCACTATTGCAACTCCTGCAATGGAACATTGTGTTGTTGTACAGAGGAGAAAATGTGCTGGCCTTGTTGACTTGTAAACTGCTGCAATTTGACTTCTAATATCAAAAAGACGCAATCAGTAAAATCAAAAGGAAAGTTTTCAAAGTTTGACCCCTTTGGAGAGCCTCAAAATCAGTTGATGGAAAGCAAGAAATATCCATTTCCTATAATACATTTTTTCCATTTTCCAAAATATATGTAATTATGGTCAATCCTGTTTAAATTATGCTCTGGAAAAAATTATTTAAATAGTAGAAGATTCCACTGCATTAGGAAAAGCTTATAGATGCATGAGAGAGGATGCTGTGTCTAGCTGCCTAGAAATGTGGTTGAAGTCCAAACTGACCTTGCTGAAGGGATCAGAAATCTCTGCTATCCCTGCTATGTGGTATTTGCATACAGTTGGTCAGGGACATATTTACTAGGGAAGCTTGAAGAGGACAGAAGTGGTGGAGTAACAGTGGCTAAGCTAAAATATTTAGGATGGTGAAGGCAGATACTGAACCTTCTTGGCACCTCTGTGATACAAGGAAGGGTCCATTTCAAACCTGTTTGACTAGAAAAATCCATGGGATTATTCTCTTTTCTGGCCTTCAAAATATTTTTAAGAAAAGTGAATGGGAAATCATGTTTTTCAAACGTATCTGATTTTTATTTCTTCATGAACTATTTTGCCATTTCCCCACCCATTCTCTCCTGAAAGAAAGGAATTTCTCAACCCTTCTCTCATGTTTAGCGTTGAGGTTGAAAAGCCCAAGTGGTGGCATTTTCATTACTAGGCTTAGATCAAATAGATGATTGAAATAGCCTTTTCCTGTCTATATTTAAATAAATAAATGTAGAAAGTACTACTTCAGCTATTTTCAGTCCTACATATATACGGATGTGGCAAAGTAGTAGAGGGAAGACTCTCAGCCAAATGCACGAAGTATGACACTGTTTATGTGGATGATTATGACTAGATTTATTGCTAATACAGTATTTAAATATTGCCAGTGAAGTATATAAGCAGGTCTAAAGGGTTATAATATATGCAGGTTCAGCTAGAAACGTACAGGTTTATACAGCCTTTGGCCTATCAGAATGCACAATTGCAAAGCAAAAAACATCTATGGAGCTAATTCAGGATTTAACCTGTGACCTTTGCGCTTTTACTCACCCATCCAAAAGTGAGTGTTCTCAGTCTTTGGGCTGGATGTACCTTGCAGGTGTCTCTGCCTGGAAATGGGTATGTATGTTTGTATGTGTGAATGCATCTCGAAACTGCCTGCAACCTTGGAAAATTTTGGAAGACCAGTTGGCCCAGTATCCAGCAGCGTTTTATACTCTTTTGCAAGCCAATGTGCACCAAAGCCAATCACAATCATCACAGCTCCCCCACGTCTGGATTGCAGTCATTACCTGAGCATCCAGACAGCTGTTCCTGCAATTACCACCTCTTGTTCTTATCTTAGGATAAATCACACTGCCCAGGAAAGGATGTGTGTGTGTGTGTGCGCGTGGAGGATGCATGTGAAGACTAGACTGTCTTTTATTGTGGTCATACTAGAGCATGAGAAACTGGTTGCAAAGACAAACCACTTACCTGAGTCTTAACAGTACCTCAGTCTTAACAATAGGTTCCTAGGACTGTCACATTCTCAAAGATAAATAGAAATCTTTCTTTTCTTTCTGTCAGGGCCTGGGAGATGAGGCAGGGGAGCTCCTGAAAAGGCTCAAAAGGCTCAAAAGCCAGTACTCAAAAATGTGCACGTGGGTAAATCTAGGCAAAGGAGTGCTACCTGCAAGCTTCTGAATAGCATCTTGCACTTCTGATTCTGAGTCCCAGAGAACAAAGCATTGTCTGACTTTACCGAGGCTTCAAATTTTCACCTATTTACATGTATACTGTGTCTGAGTGAAGGAAAGTGGCTGGGCATGGATGAGAGTTAAGATATGGGAATTCTTAAATGCTTTTTGTTTTCTCCAGGCAGAGATGAGCATGGTGAGGAAACCCATGTTGTCTCTGTGCTATTCTATTCCCAGGCTTGTGCAGCATTTGAAGAAATGTAATTTATATACTACACATGTTGTACCTTTGACTCCAGGTCTAGCCAGTCTAGATAAATCTTGTCATTGCACTCTCAAAGCAGAGCAAGGGAGTGGGGAGATGAGCTATATTTTATGGTACAGCTCATCCCACTGCATGTGAGGTGTTTTGTGGGGTTTTGCCTGAGGAAGAATAGTGTTGTTCCTGCCCCACTGGTGCAGAGAGGCTCACTTGAATATATCAGGCTTTGGTTCAGTACCTTCAAGCTCTTGGATAAACCTCATTGATTTTGGCTAAGAGTATATTTAAGCAGAGGCTAGCTTTTTGTGCTGTGTTGGATTGGTGCTATAAGGAGCACTAAATTACTTGTATTCCTTCCCTTCCTCCTTTTCCAAAGTGGTCAATATTTTATTTTTAGAAAAAACCCAAAGGAAACAATGGCGAGGGGAGAGAGGAAACTGCTCCCAGTGCTAAAATCTTGGTTTAGATGTGGACATAATGATGAGATGTGTGGCCTTTCCCAGCTCAGTAGAATAGTAATTGATTTACCAGGAAATATGATGTTATTACAAATGTGGAGCCTAATTTGGATTGTGTTGCTTGGGAGTTGCCTGGGTGGGGAAGGAAAGTGGGATCCAGCCTTTATTTTTGCTCCTCTTCTTAGCCTTGGGAATACACGTGTTCAAATAACATCTGTCTCGTCCCTTTCGCACGACCTGCTCATCACTGCCATTTGCTGAAGCAGACCAAACACTCTTAGCACAGGGGAGCCCAGACTGCACACTTACTCTGCCCTGTCAGTAGCTACATTTTGGAAGGAAACCGCAGTACAAAAGTGGGATCTCAGGTTCCATGCAGTGTATGCAAAGCAGTTTCATTTAAAATGTCACGTTTACCTTGGCAGAGCCACTCTTTAGTAGGGATTAAGGCTGCAAAAACCACTGAATCATTCTCTCTGTTTCCATCCATGTGCCAGGTCACAAACATAAATTGTAATGTTGGCCCTCATCCGTCATCACATAACACTTTGGCATACTTTTTCATTCCCTGAATATGACTGGAATGAGAAGGTTACTTGGAAAGTCATCTGTCTGAGAAGCTGTCCTGTTATAATTAGTGGGCAATCTTGGATTTCATCTCTGGACGATTATGAAGTGAAAAGGCGGGGGAATGGGATGTGTATGTTAGATTACCAGTGCCTCTGGTAAGCCAATCTGACCATGACTCAAAAGGCAGAAGTGAAAAAAGTTGGGGGAATCAGACAATGCTATATTTTTAAACAAAAAGGTGTAAAGATGATTTCAAACAGCCAAGTTTGGATCTAGATATAAGTTTAAATTTCAAGTAATTCTAAACTTCACAGATATTTAGAGGTAGAAGTTTGATTTGGCTCGCATCTAGTACCAAAGAATCTCTTTTCTTTCTAAAGGCTTCTCAGACATCAGAGTGAATGAAAGGCAGCTCAAGGTGGAGCCACAAAATAAGGGAAAATAGCAGACAACTAGATGGGGATCATAGCTGTAGGTTAATCACATAAAGTTACCAATAATCTTGCAAGTTATCTGAAGTATCTCCTTCCTCTGCGCTTCTTCACATCTGTACTACAAGCTAAGGGCTGTTGTCTTCAGCTGTGCTTCTCTCAACACCTGCAGGCTGTGTACAGTCTAATTTGGTCATATTTTTCAGAGATCTGCAATGGCCAAGCTAAACCACCCTGGTGCAGTAGTAAGGCAAGAAGGACTTTTTTTCATACCACTTATGTTTCTTTCAAATATGTGGAGGACATTATCCTTTCAGCAGCTTTCAGACAGACTGCTAAAAGCAACTTTGTACTTCAAGCTTTTGTGATAAATATGTTCTCTCTCTCCCTCTTTTTTTTTCTTTCCTCAGTCAGGAAATGTGTTAACATTTTTATATGGGCTGTAGCGTGGGATATTAGATGCTCTGAGAGGAAAATGAATGCTTAAGGCTTCCTTCCTCTGTCACTTCATTAATGCCAAGAAGGAGGCTGGATAGTGTTGCTTTAATTATCAGGCTTTTGTTAAAAGAAGTGGTTGGAGCTACCTGATTGCAGTTTTACCCAGCAAAAGAAACACAGAAATTACTTTCTAGAACAGAATATTGCCTCTAGCAAGAGCAGCACTTATAATATATTTGGCTATATGTGTCATACTTCACAATTTTATTCTTGACTCCTGCTGGGAACTGACTTGGGCCTTGAAATGAAGATTGTGTTTCCTGTACTAACTAATTTAACTGCTTGGTCACTTGGTCACTGAGGTTTTTTGCCTCCTCTCTAAGCCTTTGTGTTGTGTAGCTTTGTGTAAGATAGATTTATTTAGATTTTTTTTTGGTAAGACTATAAATAAGAACTTTTGTTTATAGTGTTCTTGATTTTTCATTGCTTGCCCAGTTCTACCTGAACTGCTATCCTTTTGTGTTTTCTATCAGTCTTTTCTCATATGAGGTGATCACAGTGTTTGGCACTGACAGGGCAGTAGTGGTCTGTGTAAATATCTGGTTTCATCCCGGATAATACCTGCAGAATTTCACAGGTGTCCAGTGATGTGTAGATAAGCACGATTTGGCTGCATGACCAGGAATCTCTTTATCCATTGCCATGCTGGATATTGTTAGTGTACATACAAAGGCATTGCTTCATGTGTTGAGTGTATGCCTCTCTGTAAGGTACTTCTATAGCACACTATTCCATGGGAGAGTTTTATTCTGAACCCTGGCAGTGATGACTGGGTTGCTTCCTGAAGTATGAAGCTTTCTATTTACTCTCTTTTAATTCTTACCATCATTATTGCTGTTTTTAATTTATGCAATTCTGATGTGAGTTCCCGTGAGCTCTTCCACAACATTGTTCCAGTTTGTACTGCAAGCTCATATTAGGCAGCAAATTACAAAAGAACGGTTTCTAAATGGGGAGCATTTTGAACAAAAGAAGAAAACTATAATTATTCCAATGAGGATTTGAGCAAGCCATCAGAATTAACAGTGCTGCTTTTCCAAATTTGCCACTGTTTTGATTAGCTTATGCACTTATACAATCCCTGCCGTGGCAGTGACAGTAACTGAATGCCTGTAACCGCAGGCAGAAGGCTATTAGAGCCCATCCACAAAAAAGCAGCTATTTTGGGTTTCTTCTCATCAAAAGCCTACAGTGCCCAAGTGATTCCAGCTAAGTATTTGTTTCTGTGGGATTCTTATCTCTTTCTACCATTCAAAATACTTTTTCTTTGCAGAACAGTTTAAACTTGATCTATTAATAATGTTTATAAAAAGTGTGTTCTTCAACACATTCTTTGGGCAGTGCCAGAAAACAGCCCCTGAAGCAGAAAAACAATCTTAACTATGCTGACCACTTGAGGGAGGTGGTGTGTTGTCTGGAGGGTTGAATCAAAACCAGTATAGTTTCTAGCTTGCAATAGAAATCTCAAAGGTTTAAGTCTTTTGCAGGCAAAAGGGAATACTGGACTTCAGCAGCGGCTGCTTTTCCTCACAAGGCCATTCCCCATGCAATCTATGATAATTCATTTGTGACCAGCCAGTTCCTGCTTTCTGAAGGGCATACAGTTTACAGAATAAAGAAAAATTGTCAGACCAAATAAATGTCTTTGTTCTAATCAGAAACAAATTAGAAAAAGCAAAATCTAAGGAAGGATTCTAAAAGCCAGCAGAAGAAAATGGGAGATTTCAATACCTGTTCAACACATTTTTTAGAATAAGGATGTTTACTGACTGGTCAGAACTTAAGTAAAATTATGAACATAAAATTCTTTATTCCTCTCAGTGAGTTATGTGCAATACTTGGAGACCTGACCTTTTCTCCCTTCCTCTGTCTTCTCTTCCATCCCACGCATGTTTGGCCTGGCGGTGCAGCAGAACTACCAAGGTAAAGACAATACAAATGTGATATGGCATTTTCCCATCTGAAGGACTTGGAGGTGAGCCTAGAATTTTGGAAAAATTAGGAATAAAAACATTTCAGAACTAGTTTCTGATCTGGTGTTTGGGCCTAACTCCTTAAATGAAAATAAAAAAAAACAAAACAAAACAAAACAAAACAAAAACAACCAAAAACCCCTATGCAAAATGAGCAACCAAGTCCCCTTCGTGGGGCACTGCGTTCAGCAGAGTATGGAGGAATGGCAGAAGCCCCACTCATTCTGCATGTCCTCACCAACAGTGGCTGGCTCCACCTCCTCTGAAGAAGGTATTCCAAAGTCTAGAGTAACAATCATCCTAGATTAACAATCATCCTAGAAAACAGAGTTTGAGTGGACTGAAGTGGAAACACTAAAACTGGCTAAAACAGAATAGCAGGTGTTATTTTCTGAGTAGGACAGAAGCTGCTGCATGTCCTTCCTTGGGTTTGTAAGTCCTAGCTTAGTGTTTGGCCTGTCCAGAGTAGGATGATGAGGCTGCTTTATACTCAGCCAGCAGTACTTTATAACTCCCAAGATCTTTCTGTCCTTGTCCACCCAAGCAGTTGTTCCCCGTCGTGCATCTAAAAACTGATTCCTTCTGGCTAAGTGTAGAACTTTGTTGAATACCATCCTGGTTTTTTTCATGCAAACTTCAGTTTTCAGGATCATTCTGAACTTTTCAGCATGTCTGAAGCACTACCCTTCCTATTGTCTGCAGATTTAATAAGGACTTTCTGTTTCCCATCACCTAGACTGTTCATAAAAATACACTTGCTGAAGGAGATTTCCCCCAAACCCTGGTTGACAGAGCTGTTGGCTTGAATCTAAAACATATCCGAGTGTTCTCATAAAGTTTATATCTGCCTACTGTAATTGAGGATATTCAGCATTTAATGTAAACATTTTAATTAGCTGAACTTTCTGAAATATATAGCATAATATCTTCAAGGAAGAGGGTACTGCAAACATGGGTAGAGACCAAATAAGTCCCTCTAATTGTGAATTCTGTTTTCTAATCAGTCTTCCTACCTAAAATACTCTAAATTTGAAAATCCATGCTCAGTAGTTTGAGCTCTGTGGAGGGTTTCTGTCTCTTTCTGTTTATCTGCCACTTTTACTCTGGCCTCAAATGGACCCCAAAAATAAATTACTGTGTGAGTTTGCATATTACTAAGAAGCTGAAGTCTGCTGGGAAGTGAGAGCTCTGAATGACAATTTTGACACAAATAATGTTCACCCTCTGTATTAATAAGAACATGCTGATGAAGTGTCACAAGCAATATGCTGTAGATAAGTAAGTTACAATAGTCTTCTTTTCATCACCAACAAAATCAGTTTCATCCTACACACTTAACTCATGCTGACTGCTAATTTTGACAGAGTCTCTGCTGTCCCACATTTAACTGGAAATATTTTAAGAAGCCACAAAACCTCCTGTTTATTACCTTCTTTCACTTTTTTTTCTGCATCCTGTCTACTTAACTGATACTTTATTCCGTGCAAACTGTTCTACCGGGGCTTGCAGAAGCCCCTTTTCCATATTAATCCAATCAACTATGACTGTTTTGAAGTCCTAAAATGTAATTCTGAAACTACTGAAAAGGGGCTCAGTTATTTTCATATGAAGGAGACAGTAGTAAATTAGACAACTGACAATGAAAAAAACCTCCAAATCAAACCAAAATGTTTGATGATCTTCATACAATATATTAAAAAAAAGGGTGTTAAATATGACTGTTTTAAAATATGCACACTATATATTGCTTTTCAGTTTTGATGAACGCGTACCAAAAAGTTAAAAGATACAGATGAAAAACAGTTAAGTGGCTTGTAAATGGTAACTGCACAGGCAGTACTTCTCAATGAACTGTGTTTTTTAGGGTTTGGTTCTGATTTGTCTAATAGAACCCTTCTTAATTATTGACTTTCATTACTGTTGTAGTATTTCCGGGTGATTGCTACTTTCATTGCTGCTGAATTTATCTGTCAGGGATTTCTTGGGATTTGGTTTATAAAGATGAAGACCAAAGAGTCTGAGCTCACTGCCTACTTAAGAAACAACTACCCTTTGGCAGTCCTGGTAGGTCTAATGGTGAGATAACATACCCCTTTAAGTTAGAAGGTGGTTTTTGGTTGCTGAAGCCCTTTGGTATGTATTAATAGGTCACTGATTAAAATGTTTAGAATCCATTTTTTAGCTAAATTATTGTTTATTACATTAAAAAAAGGCCAACAACAGGAGGTTGTACCTGTGGAGGGTGAAGGCTTTTAGGTGGTTTACATCTTAATTAAAAAGAAACACCAGCAAAAACACCGTAGTCAAGGAATTCTGTTGTAAATATGTCTGGGAGTGGCAATGCATTTTATTATCCACTCTTTTGATTAGCTTGCTCCTTTATACTTCATTGTTGGTGATTAAAACAAAAGTTATATTCACATCTACTCAAGCTAGTAGAGGGAAAACAGAGATAGCAAAAGACTTCCGCTGTGAGCTCCAGTATGGTGAGATTTGTTACACCGAATGCAGGAACACAAGCTATTAAAATGCACTGCAGTGCACACTCTGTTTTCAGGACTGATTGATGACATTTCCATATATAGTTAGGAGTAAGACGTTGCTTTTGAAAATAGAATTAAAACTTTCCCTTTTTAGGAGCAAGAACCACTTTGGCAACACAACCAAACCCAAGCACATTAGTTCTTTTGGTCAAAACATTAACAGGGTACTTTGCTAACAAAATGTTCAGGTCATGATAAGGTCAAAGCATGAACTGTAAGGCTTTTTATGAGCTAAATGTTTTCAAATAGCACTCCAAGTTGAAAGTGCTGAAATTAAAGTTTTTCTCCTGTAAACGGGGTGTTGCTGAGCTGAGTATATGTTGGTTTTTTTCAATTACTCAGCATAAGATGACAGGACTGCAATGACACGCATTCACTGAGCAAAGACAGATGTCACCAGAAACATGGACGGTAGGAGCAATTTAAGGAAAAGTTGATAAAGATGTATTTTGTATCTGTGTTGTCTCTTTCCAACTTGGCAAACGTTTGCCTGTTTTCCAAAATGAAAACTTTGTGAGACAACTTACTGTCTCAATTGTAAACATGAATCCAATAATCTGATCTAATTCGAAAAATAATACCTTTCCCTCTTGTATTCATAATTCTCGATTCAGGTCTAGATTTGCAAATGCGCATGGACATACATTCCCAGCAGGATGTAGGGTGGTAGGAAGGTAGGTGGAACCTCACCACCTGAATTGAAGGTACCCCATGACATTCCCACGAAAAGTGAGATACGATTTTGAATACTGTTTTAATGTGGAAATTATTTCACTTTGCTACTAACTTTTTTAGAGACACAGTAGCACTACGGAGAATGTAGATCATAATAAATATGTAAAGGACCACAATTCGTTGGAGAGGTTGGGCAAAGAAGAACTGTCTGAAATTCAACAAAGGCAAATGCAGAGTCCTGCACTTGGGGAGGAATAACCTTGGGCGCCAGCACAGGGTGGGGGCTAACCTGCTGGAAAGCAGCTCTGTGGAGAAGGATCTCGAGGTCCTGGTGGATGACAAGCTTTCCATGAGAGGAGGTGATCCTGCCCCTCTACTCAGCCCTGGTGAGGCCACATCTGGAGTGCTGTGTCCTGTTCTGGGCTCCTCAGTACCAGAGAGACATGGAGCTCTTCAGGTGGGTCCAGCAGAGGGCAACAAAACTGATCAGGAACTGGAGCACCTCTCTTATGAAGAAAGGCTGAGGGAGCTAGGCCTGTTCAGTCTCAAGAAGAGATGACTTGAGAGGGGACCTCATCAATGTCTACAAGTATCTGAAGGGAGGGTATCAAGAAGATGGAGCCAGCCTCTTCACAGTGGTGCCAAGCAATAAAGAGGCAATGGGCAGAAACTGACGCACAGGAAGTTCCACCTGAATATGAGAAAAAACTTCTTTACTGTGCAGTGACTGAGCACTGGAACAGAAAGGTTGCGGCGTCTCCCTCAGTGGAGATATTAAAGAACTGTCTGGATGCAATCCTGTGCCATGTGCTCTAGAATGACCCTGCTTAAGCAGGAAGGTTGGACCAGATGACCCACTGTGGTCCCTCCCAAGCTGACCCAGTCTGTGATTCTGTGAAAACTTGCATAGTATCTGCAGGAGTATAAGATCATCCTTGTATAACTAAATCCACTGCTTACTCCTCATAAGAACACAAATTGGCAGCAACAGTGCAAGGTATTAATGTGAGATAATTTTAGAAAGACATGGCTAAAAGCAACTCAATTTTGAATAGAGTGGAGTAGAAATGAATGTAGTTTCGTAAGCTCTGCTATCATCTGAACCAGACATTTCCAGAACTGCATGTAGGTCTGTGCAAGTTTCAGCTACCCAAAAACATTCCAGATTTTGTTTTGTTGTAAGAAATTACTCAGACCATGGGGAACACTTATCCAAATGTTTTAATGCACATTTTTCTACCACCTTGAATGAAGCATGGCAATGTTAATGCTGAATTCCCCAGAACTTCTGCTTGCATCCTGAAACACAATATTATTATATAAAGGGCCTCTAATTTGCTTTGTACATAGGAGAAAATTGGGAGGAAAACTGTTGAAATAAATGGCACTGAGCTAGAACCGAGCTGTATGCTTTTCCTGTCAGGCCATCAGTAGCTTCACAGTAGAAATAACAGCAGACTTCAGCATCATGGTCTTAATAGACAGGATCAGAGTTTTGGAAGACAATGTTTTGAAGAATAAAATATGAAGTGGCAGTGCTAATAGAAAAATCTGTTCTTGTGACTCAAATGCAAAAGAATTGAAAAACGAGTTGAAAATAAATGTTTTCCATTGCTTTTTTCTGATCTCCTGAATTAAAACTGATGCTCAGATTACTATATAGAATAAAAAAACTACACTAAATCAAAGTAGTGTCAAATACAAATTTCAATTTATTGCAATAACTGTCACAGTTGTTCAAAAAACCTAAAATGAGTTCTAGTAAAAGTACAATTCCATCCTGCCCTCATTTCTATTTACAAAATTTGGTATTTCACACTGGATCTCATTTAATTTGAAAACAGCTTGTGACTTATTGGCTAGACATAAGGGGGGGATCTGAGGAATCAATGACAGAGCATGCACAATGAAAGTGCCACCATAGATGGAAACTTATTGATTGGGGTCTCCATTTTTAGATAATACTTCAGTACATTATTTTGAGAAATTTGAAAAGGCAAAAGGGAAGAACTGCATTTGTAATATACACCTAGTCAGGGGTGCAACCCTGCAGGTGCAAACTGGTACAGCTGCTCTCCCAAGAGACACAGCAGTAGCTATAAATATACGTCCATGCTGATACAGCCAAGCTACCTCTGGATGTGTTAGCTGGATGTGTGGGTCATGGCAACCCCAACACAGAAATATTGAGGAGAATTTCTGTATCCGTAAAATCTACAGTAGCTTGATGCAAGCGTCTCCTCTACCACTTGGCATAGTGTGGGAAGTGTGGGTGATTGTCAACCTGTGGTAATACAGTGAACAGCAGGGATAAAATCATATGGATATGATGCACCACTGTATACAGTTTGAATGCTCAATGTGGTTTTGGGGTCTCAGTCTAATTCTGGGTGAAAATTCTTGTATTGCAGTTTGGGACAGCAGAATAGCTACTTAACATCATGCCAACTAGAGTGAAATTGTTTAACCTGTGATCACAAGTTGGGTCCTGCAAATTCGAGTCCAATATTACAAGAATAAGTGAAGGGAAATAACGAAGAGAGATAACCTTAGCACTGACTACTGATAAAAGATGTGTGAACTGGATAGACAATGTGCTAGAGCAGTCAAGCCAAAAGAAGTTCCTACTGCAATTCAAAATGGGTGTTAAAATGCTGTGTTACAATCAAGAATACTTGCCTTCAAATTAATGGATCAGAAAAACAAGGTACAGTCAGCTCTAAACTAATGAATTATACATGCTTTTGAGTCCTGTCATCCCAGTTGTTCCAAAGCAGCTCAGGAAAAAGCAGTTGGAGTCTTTTCTCTCTCATGTATCAGCCACAGAATACACATTCATCCTGTTTTTGGAGTCTCACCACATCATGTTCACAGTAATCTGTGTAGGAAAATGCATTTTCACTGGAAAGGAGAGACCTGCTAAATCTGTGACTTTTCTTGAGGATTGACTGACCAATGACATCAAGTGACTTTAGTTAATATCTGATATTTGATTTCCCAAAATTGCAAAGACTTGAGATGAAGAAACCAAGGTGCCCAGAACAGAGTAGACTTGCATAACTTCACACACTAAGTCCATGACAGGTGAGGAACAGAAATACAACCTTCTTGGATGCTGTGGTTCTTGTTCCACATACTTAGCAACTGGGCAACAAAGTAAAAAAAAAAAAAAAAAAAAGTTTATTTCTTCCTTCATTCTCTAATAGGAGCCATCACTGAACAGACCTAATGCTTTGCAGGCCCATGCTGGCTCTATGCCAGCATTTGCAAAGGCAGTGTATTTTCTCTTCGAAACCTTTTCCTGCAAAGCACAGATTGTGGCTGTCAACATCTCCATCTATGGCATATCAAATATGAGTTTTCAGCACATAAGGACTTCATTATGCTCCACAGACTTTGGTTTTCCACTCCCATTGCCTTAGCCTTCCTCAGTGGTAGCTGAAATTCAGACTAGATCTGTCACTGGCAGGATCACCTGAACCGGAAAAACGCAGGCAGGATTTCAACACACTTGCTCCCTTATTCATCACCCCTCCACACCTGCTCTCCACCAGTGGGACAGGGCTTCACCACCCATGGCAGTGACTCAGCTCCTCCCTCCAGCTCCATCAAGGTTATGGCCAGCGAGAGTCAAGAGGAGACAGAACAAAGAGGAGACACCCTCCTCTGACAAAAGAGCCTCTCGCAACGACCAGATTCTCTTTCAGAGCAGGTGAGAAAATATAAGAGGAAATCCCTTATCAGTCAGCTTGGCCTGGAGAGATGAGAATGAAAGCAACTTTTGAAACAACCCCGTGAGGCAGGATGTAGAGCTCACGGGGACACTTCTAGCTCAGCTTGCTCTCTCCTCCTCACTGTGACATTGCTTGGAGGTGTCCTGAGGCACCCAAAGCAAGATGATCTGTACCTGATGGCAGTTTTGTTTGTAAGTAGCAGTGGCAGGGATCTGAACACGTCTAAGGAGAACGGTGCAGCTTGGCCTGCTGAGCTGTACTTCTGATTACCAGGTCATCTTGCACATGGAGCTTGGTCCCCCCTAGTCTCACGTGCTGTCACCTGAGAAGCAGACCAACTATTTCTGCTCCTTTTCCTCATTCCCTGTGCATCTGGATTTCTGTCAGAATTGAAGCAAGTCCTCCTGACAGAAATATCCAAACCTGTCTCCAAGCAGCAGACTGGAAGGCTGCATTCCACTATCTGCTAGGATTTTCTTTTTCTTTCCATGAGCTAACGCTGTAAATCCCACAGCAAGGCATGAATAAACAAAAACTAGGAAGGATTAGTACGTACTATTTAGCGAATCATGACTAACACAGCCCCGTCTTGCTTCCTCTGAACGCGTGCCACAAAAGTTCAACAAATATTATTGTGAAATGAACCACAAAGTCTTTACACACTTTAGAAATGGCATCTTCACTCTGGCAAAAAACAAATGTATTTAGTTTCTAGTTGATGGGAAAATATCTAAATTTAAAACACTTGATAATTGACACAAGACTGGAGTTTTTCAATTCTTTTCCTCCCTCCTACACCCTTCCTGTATGGCAAATATAATTTAGCAGAAGATTCCTAAAGTCAGAGGGTTTTAATCAAGCTGAGAGTCTACTTGCTTTGCCTTTTGCTAAGAAAACACTCAGCAATGACTCGTTCTGTGAAGTGAAAGGTTTAGAAATATTACCGGGACATCCACCTCTTGTGCACATAATTGTTGTAGATGTCAGGGGGAATGTCAGGCATATAAAAAGAAGTGTTTTCTGCACATAAGAATAGTGAAAGGAGAAATAATTTCTTGTTGTAATGTGGCCTGTGGTGTTATGAGTGCTTGTGTGCTTACCACGTGTTCTTCTTAGATGTAGACGTATCTATGGCTTTGAGACGTTGGCCATAAGCAGGTTTGTTTTAAAAAGTAATTGCTTTAGTCACAACCCTTGGGATAGATTAAAAGATCCATTTCCAAAGGAAGTCACATAAAACACTAGAAGAGGAGGACAGGCTGCAGTTCTAAAATTGCTCATTGCAATATTACTTGTAAATATTGTTATAATACCATCAAAAAGCCCAAATCCCCTAGGCAATACAGATAGATCCTTACCCATATACATAAATCTAAATAAAAATAAAAGGGAAGAAAGAGCAATCATACCTGGTATTGCTGCAAATCTAATTTCTTTTAGTAACAGGGTGCTATTATTCCATTCCCCTGGCAGCTATGGATGCTTTTAAACTCCACGAAAATTGATCACAGGATTTCAGCATTTTAGAAAATATGTCTGTGAGTGTCATGATCTTTCAATACTGAAGAAACAGGCCTGGGAATTTCGGGCTTGCCCAGATATTGCCTACACTTC